ACGGCCTCTCGCGTCCTCGGCAGACGCCACGCCAAAAGCGTCTGCCTCCGCGGAGGGCGGCTCGCCCGGCCCCGACCCTGGCGCCGCCAGCGCAGGATCGGCTCCCCAGGCCGCCAAGCGTGCTCCGCCACTGGCCCTCCGCTCCAAGGCCGCGGCGGCCCCTCCGCCTGCTATCGGGGTGGGCTCGTCGCGCGTCGGCTCGCGGGAAGCGCCAAAGGGGGCCTCAGCAGCTACCCCCCGCACCTTCCAGCGAGCGGCCAGGGTGAGCGCCTCTCGCCAACTGCTTGGCGTAGTGGACGGGGCCTCGCGCGGCACAATTGAGGCCGCCTTCAGGCGCCAGTCCCTAGTCTACCATCCAGACAGGACTCCCGCGCACCTGGGCGCCGACGAGCGAGCAGCCCGCGCGCTGAAGTGGAAGCAGCTCTGTGACGCCAAGTCAGTGTTGCTCCAGGCCGTCTCGCAGGCCGCCGCGCCGCCCGATGTTCCTAGCACGGGCGGCGACGGTCCTGCCGCCCGCGCCTACGCCCGGGCCAAGGCGGCAGGAAAGGGCGCCCGCAAGGGCAAGCTGGCTCCAGGGTCGACCATGGCCCTTCAGGCGCTCGAAGAGGCGGTCTCCTCGCGGGTCGCCCTTGCGAGCGCCGAGCTGGCCCCTCGGGCTGCCCTCCCCGCCTCGGGCGCGCCTCTCCCGAGGGGCGGGGTTTCGTCTGCCCTCGCGACGCGGGCGGCTGAGTCGGATGCCACCCTCGTCTCCGCCGTGTCGCGCGGCCGCGTGGAGCTCGACGCACTCCGCACCGCGCGTGCCGACGCCACCAGGCGCACGGTGCAGGCTCCTGCACGCGGCGAAGGAGAGCGTGCCGTCGCTCGTGCCGAGCTCGCGGAAGGGATGGCCGATCGCGCCTACTTCCGACGCGTGCGCGAGGCCGCCAGTCGAGAGGCCGCGGGCTTGCCGCGCACTGCTCCCGTCCAGCTGGGTCGGGATTGGCGCAAAACCTTGCGCGCCGTCCTGCACAACGCTGAGGTCTCGACGGGCCTCGCCATCGCAGAACGTGCCGCTCGTGCTGGGGACGCACCCGCGTCGTCCACTGGCCGCTCCTTGGCCGAGGTGGAGGCTGAGGACCCGCGCGCCTTGGCAAGGCCCGCCGACGACCCTGCGTCCAGCTTCAGCCGTCGTGAGCGGCGCGCGGTCCGCGCCCGCCTGGGCCCGCGGGATGAAGCGGTCGAGGACCAGCCCAACCGCGGTGGTCACGCGCCGCACTCCGCCTCGCGCACGGGCGCCGCGCGCACCAGGCGCGCCGCCAGGCAGCGGCGGGCTTCGATGGCGGCGCTCCCCGCCCCTGAGGGGGGGGCCGCCACGGCGCCTGGCCGCAGGGCGCGTCGCACTGCCAATGCGCGCCGCTGGGCAGGCGCGGCACGCCCCAGCTCCGCCGCGGGAGTGGGCTCCCCACCGCGGAGCCGCAGCCCTGCCCGCAGCCGTACGCGGTCTCCAAACCCGTACGGGACCGACCGCACCTCTCCCTCGGGGGGCTGCTCGTCGCCTCCCGTCGACGGCCCGATCTCGCCCGAGGAGCCGTCGGAGCCGCCTGCGGGGGAGGCATCGGAGGGCCCGCACACTCCTGACGGGTCCCCGCCCGCGAGCGTTCGCAGCCGCTCGAGAGCGGAGCCCGCGTGCGACGAGGACTCTCCGACGGAGCTCGAGGACGTCGTGCTGAGTGCCCTCGCAGACTCCTCGATGGACCTCGAGCGCGTCGTGGCGGGCCTGAACCCCGAGGTCCTCCGCCGCCTGCAGGCGGCCTTCCCTCGCCGCTCGGGGGCCTCTCCGCCCGCCGCTCGCGCCTCGGTTCGCAGTCGCTCTCGGGGCCGCGGCGCGCGCGTAGGCTCCGAGACTCCGCGGCCCGTGCCCCCGCCGCCGCCGCCGCCCCCTCACCACTCTGGTGGGCGTGCGGCGTCGCGATCCCGCGCGTCGACCGCAGGCCAGGGGCTTAGTCGGGCCGTCGCGCGCGGCTCCTCTCGCGCGCCTTCGCGTCAGGCGACGTCGCCTCGGCGTCGCGAGGTGCGCTCCCCTCGAGTCGCTCCGAAGCGGCGCCCGAGCCCCGCTACTGCGCAGCGGCCAGCCACGTCCCGCCATGGTGCGAGCTCGGGCGACGCCCACGCAGGCAGCTCCCGCGCGGACTCCGCTGCTCAGGCCCCTCAGTCTTCGGTAGGCACGCGCTCCTCCAGCGATGCTGTTGCGGCCCCGCAGGGCGGAGGGCGTGCCGCCGAGGAAAGGGGGTCTTCGAGCGGCCCCGCGCCTGGCCGAGATTCAGGGCACGAGCTGCATCCCAGCGGCTCCCACAGCGGCGACGCTGGGAGCGCCGCGGCTGCAGCCTTCGCAGCGCGGCGCACGGCCTCCGCGGCCGTTGAGCAGCCCTTGCCTCCAGGGGCCGCCACCGCCCTAGCGTGGCGTCTCAACCTCGGCGGTGAGAAGGTCACAGTGGTGAGGTGGGGACCCGCCTGGCAAGCTGCCTTCCAGAGCGCGGCGTCGTGGCTGAGGTCTTTCGCACCCGCAGGGGCCGCCGAGCCCGAGGGCAGAGATGACCTGCACTGCCTCCTGCAGGCCTTGCACGCCTATAAGCGCCTGTTTCAGACAGGCGGCGCCGAGCCGATCGACGAAGCCTCGTGGTTGCATCCTTACGTGGCCGCCGTCGAGCCCGAGGCTATCCCCGCGGGCGCTGACCTCCAAGCCATGGGGGCGGGCGCCATCCGTGGCATCGGGCTCGGCTCAAAGATCGAGCACAGGAGGCGCGCGGGCAAGTTGGCCTGCCTTTTCGACCTTCTGTACCACGTGCAGGACGGTCACGGCGCCATCCCAGCAGCGCTGTGGGGATCTCATTCCCCTCCGTCCGAGATCCTCGACGCGTTCGCGGAGGTGGTGCCCGTTCCACATCATTCGGGCCTCACGTCCTCGGCAGCTCGTTCCGAGCTCGCCGAATCGGCCGCAGCTGCGCGCGCCGAGCCGCGCCCGCCCTTTGACTGGGCGACCCTCGAGGGAGGGGGCGCTCTGCCCGCCGAGATCGAAGCAGGGGCTCGCCGTGCTCACCGTAACATGGGCGGATCCTTCACCTCGGCGCGGGCGATGCTGGCGGAGGCGTCGGGGTTCGAGACCGACGGGCGGGACACCCTCGTTCCGCCCTTCTACGCGTCCAGGAGCAGGAGGGCCGCCACGCTGATCAGCTCTCCCAGCCCTGGCCGCCCTGCGCTCATCCTGTGGTGCGTCTGCGGCCTCTGCATCTCTCTGGGAGCCGCGGCGCCGACCGCAGGCCAAGGGCTTAGTCGGGCTGCGCCTTCCGCGCCCGCTCGCCCTCCGCGCACTCCCTTCGTGCGCGATTCTCACCTCACCTCCGCGTATCTCGATCGTCGCTCGAGATCGATTGATGCGTTCGAACTGTGGTTAGCAGAACACACTGGCGTGCCGCCCGCCACTCTTTACCGTAGCGGGCTACTTCTCGCCCGCTTCCTCGCGACCTTCGGCGTGTGGCTTCATGATGCAGGTTTCCCTCATTATATTCTGGTTCATGCCATCTTGGGAATCCAGAGCGCTCATCCGCATTGGAAGGCCTTTCTAACAGAAGCTTGGGACGTAGCGAAACAATGGAAGCTCGCGGAGCCGCCAAAGCTCCGCCCGCCCTTACCTCGCGCTCTGCTGCGCGCTATGGTCGGTCTCTGTTTCGCCTGGGACTGGCCTGTGATGGCGGCCTTGCTGCTCATGGGCTTTACGATGTTCCTCAGGCCTGGCGAGCTGCTGGCGTCACGCCGCTGTGACTTGTCGCTTCCTTGCGACCGCCTCGAAGTTGAAGGGGATGCTTTTCTTTCGATTCTTGTTCCAAAGACCAGGAGAACGTACCCGACGCAGCATGCTCGCTGCTCCGATCGGGGCACGGTGAAGATTCTGAATCAAGTGTTTGGGCGGTTGGCTTCCACCGATCCTCTCGCCCCTTTCGGTGCGAGCGGCTTCCGTACTCGGTGGAATCATTTGCTTTCGGCCCTGGGCGTCCCTCTTGCCAAAGCGGGTCAGGGGCTCAACCTGACGCCCGCATGTCTGCGGGGCTCTGGCGCAACAGACTTCTATATCGCTACGGAAGACGTCCCTCGCGTCTTCTGGCGGGGGCGTTGGCGTCAGGCTTCCAGTGCTGAGCGCTACCTGCAAGCCGCCGCCGCTTCCACAGTTCTTGCTGCGCTGCCCGTGCCCGCACGGGCGCGGATCCTGTTCTTCGCCACCGCCAGCGACCGCCTTGTCGCTTCATTTCTCCAAGTCGGCCCCGCCGCTTGGCCTGCCCTACTTGCGGCCGCCCGCCGAAACCTTGTCACTTCGCAAGGTCCTTGAGCACGGGTATGGCTGCCTCGCCGTCGTCGGCGAGCAGGCGGTCTCCCCCGCCTGACGCGCGGCGCCCCGGCACGAGCGCGCGGGACGGGCCTGCCCATTTTGGGCCGCCCCGCGCGCGCGAGCCGCGGCCGCGCTCGGAGACAGCTCGCTAGCGCGCGAGCGGGAGAATGCCTCTTCTATTCTCTGTGAGCAAGCTCCTGCTGTCTCCGCAGCTTCTCTGCCCCCCTCCCTCCTCTCCCAATCTAAGGCTGATGGGCGCTGCCTCGCCGTCGTCGGCGAGCAGGCGGTCTCCCCCGCCTGACGCGCGGCGCCCCGGCACGAGCGCGCGGGACGGGCCTGCCCATTTTGGGCCGCCCCGCGCGCGCGAGCCGCGGCCGCGCTCGGAGACAGCTCGCTAGCGCGCGAGCGGGAGAATCATCATCATCATCATCATCATCATCATCATCATCATCATCATCATCATCATCATCATCATCATCATCATCATCATCATCATCATCATCATCACCACCACCACCACCATCATCATCATCATCATCATCATCATTCCCCTCCTCCTCCTCCTCCTCCTCCTCCTCCTCCTCCTCCTCCTCCTCCTTCTCATCCACATCCGCACTGAAGCTTCGCTGGGTGCGGGGGCCGGTGGATACTGCCCGAGCGCGATGCAGGCCATCATGGACCACCTGGGCTGGGCGCGCACGGCCGTCTCCACCGGCAGCGCTGGCCGGTGGCTGGGCTGGTGGTATCCCTACCGGTAGCGCCCGGGCCGCCCTGCGGCATGCGGACGCGGGGCGTTTTTTTTTCGCGCACGCCCCGCGCGGAGCGCGCCCGCGCGACCGCGCACCCGCGCGACCGCGCCCCCGGCTCCAGACCTCGCGAGGGCGCGGATGCGGACCCGTCTGCCGCTCGCGAGGCCTCGGCGGGCGCGGGCACGGCCGGAGAGGCCGGGCCCTCGCGCGAGCCCCGCGGAGCCTTGGCGCGAGCCGTGCGGGGAGGCGGGGAGCGGCGGCGTCGGCTGGCGTGTCACGGGGTCTCGTCGGAGCCGATCTCGGCCACGGTCCATGCCGGCCGCCGCCGAGTCGCGAGTAGGATGAATCTGTGGACGAGGGCCAAGATGGATGATGGCCAGGATCGACACCCACGGTTCTGCGTTCAGTCTTGGTCACGGTCTCGGAGGGGGCCAAACGCATGAACAGAATTCTTGACGCGTCGCGTAATTATCCCCACAAGCCCATTCAGAAACAGTTTGCCAGGCGAGTTGAAGCGTTGTTGTGGGAGGTTCTCGGGGGTCTTTTGGAGCCATCTCGGGGCTCTCTTGAGGTCCCGTCTTGGGTTTTTTTGGGGGCCATCTTGAGGCCCTCTTTGGGCCCTTTGGGCGGGTCTGAGCGGTCTCTTGGGGCCGTCTTGGCCCCCGTAGCTCAAAAGGAGATGGGTCCTCAATTCAGCCCCCCCCCTCGGAGGCTCAACAATTGCCTCTTGGGGCGGTGCTCTTGGGCGCTCCTGGGGCCCTCTTGGGGCCCTCTTGGGGCTTTCTTGGGCCCCTCTTGGGGCCATCTCGAGGCCTCGGGAGCCCATCAGAGGCGAAGAGGCGTGTCCGCAAGAATCACTGATGATCCAAACAAGGTTTTGGAGCCTTTTTGGCCTCTTGGGGAGGTCCTCGGAGGGCCCAGGGGGCACTTGAAACCATCTTGGGGCGTCTTTGACGTATGTGGGAGGCTATCCTGAGCCACCTTCAGCTATCTTGAGTCTTGAAGACCATCTTGGGCTCTCAGAGGCCCTCTTGGAGCCATCTTGGCGCCTCGCGCCCCCCCCCCCCCCCCAGGCCCAGGGGAGGGGGTAGAGGGAGGGGTCAAGCAAGACGCCCACCCGCCCTCAAGCCGTCTAGTTCACTCCCACCCGCCCTCCCTACACATAAGTGACACCCGAGCCTGGGCATGTTCAGCGGCCGTCGTTGGATGGACAGCTACTGGGAACCAAAGCCGACCCCAGGTGCGCGACGCTTGGGCGAGGTGCGCCACGCGTGCCAGGGGCGCCACGCGCGCCAGCACCCCTGGGGCCTGAGCGTGCCAGGCACGCCTGGTGCGCCAGATGCGCCACGTGCTCCGAGTGCGCCAGGTGTGCCGCACTCCAGCCGCGCCAGGTGCGCCGCGTTTGGGGCACGTGCAGAGTGCGTCAGGTGCGCCTGCGCACGTGACCGTACACGTCGGGAAACATGTCGGCCCCCGCCATCCTTGTCGAAAGCCGATGCCCATCATTGTGTCTGCTGGACCTGCGCACAGCAGGCCACGCACCACCACCCCCGCCGTCCCTGCCAAAAACCACTGGACAGTGATCGCGGTGTGGCCGCGCATGATCCAGATTTAGCCGCGAGGTGCATTCTGTATTGTTTTGTGTTAGGGATGGTAACCCTGCGCACATCAGGGAACATGCAGACACCCCCGCCGTCCTCGTCAAAAACAGTACGAAGTGCTTGCGGGCCTCACGAACATGACTCAAGACTTTGCCCCAACGTGTAGTTTGCATTGGTTTTTGTCAGGGATGGTGGGGGGGCCGCATCGGGTTGGCCGCGAATGCTCAAAATGTGAAGGCAGCGTGCGGTTTTAATTCCCCATATCCTAAGATGGGGTTCTTGTTATTACTTGGACGCCTCCTACTCCTTCTCCTTCCTCCTCCTCTTTTCTCCTCCCCTCCTGTCGGACATACTCAGACTTGCTCATACACAGACTTACTCATACTCAGACTTACTCATACTCAGACCTACTCATACTCAGACTTACTCACACTCAGACATACTCATATACAGACTTACTCATACACATACTTACTCATACACAGTATTAGTCATACCCAGACGTACACATACACAGACTTACTCATACACAGACTTACTCATACTCAGCACCCCTAAGGGGAGCCGCCAGGGGTGGTTGCACGGGCTCGTTCGCGGCCATTTTGTGGGGATGTCTCAGGCGGTTTGCCTGTTTCTGTGCCCAACATCCTTCGCTTTCGGAGCAGATTTGGAGGATGTCTCGAGCGAGGCGCTCATTTCAGCACCCCTAAGGGGAGCCGCCAGGGGTGGTTGCACGGGCTCGTTCGCGGCCATTTTGTGGGGATGTCTCAGGCGGTTTGCCTGTTTCTGTGCCCAACATCCTTCGCTTTCGGAGCAGATTTGGAGGATGTCTCGAGCGAGGCGCTCATTTCAGCACCCCTAAGGGGAGCCGCCAGGGGTGGTTGCACGGGCTCGTTCGCGGCCATTTTGTGGGGATGTCTCAGGCGGTTTGCCTGTTTCTGTGCCCAACATCCTTCGCTTTCGGAGCAGATTTGGAGGATGTCTCGAGCGAGGCGCTCATTTCAGCACCCCTAAGGGGAGCCGCCAGGGGTGGTTGCACGGGCTCGTTCGCGGCCATTTTGTGGGGATGTCTCAGGCGGTTTGCTGTTTCTGTGCCCAACATCCTTCGCTTTCGGAGCAGATTTGGAGGATGTCTCGAGCGAGGCGCTCATTTTCACCCCCCAGGTGGGCCAGATTTTGAGGATGTCTCGATCGGTTTGCTAGTTTTGGTGGCCAGGCTCGTGGGCGCAGATTCTTCTCAGGATGCCACAGGAGGCTCCAACAGGCTCCAGGAGGCTCCAGGAGACCACATGAGGTCCCAGGAGGCATCAGGAGGCCACAGAAAGACTCAAGAGGCCACAGGATGTCCCAAGAGGCTCCAGGAGGCCCCAGGAAGCTCCAGAAGGCCTCAGGAAACCACAGGAGGCCCCAGGAGGCAACAGGAAGCGCCAGGAGGCCTCGGAAGGCAACAGGAGGCCCCGAGAGGCCCCAGGAGCAGGAGGCCTCAGAAGGCAACAGGAGTGGCTCCAATCCCATGTGTTTTACGTATGCTCCTATCGATTGGGCCTCACCTGGAGCACGATTCTTTGATGTTCTACGTATGTTTCTATAGATGGTCCTTCTCCTGTGTACACAATCCTAAATGTTTTACTCATGTTCCTATGTATTGGGCCTCTCCTGGGGCACGAGTCCTTGGTGTTTTACGCGTGTTCCTATAGATTGCCCTTCTCCTGTGGCTCTAATCCGCAATGTTTTATGTACGTCTGTTGCTATAGATTGCGCCTCCCCTGGGGCACGAAACCTTCCTAGGAGGTCCCAGGAGGTCCCAAGAGGCTCCTGGAGACCCCAGGAAGCCCCAGTAGGTTTCAGGAGGCCCCAGGAGGCCCCAGGCTCATGCACAGAGACGCGCTCGTACTACTGAGGCTCATTCACACTCCAATTCATTCGCAGTTAGATTGATGTCCAGACCGTCACAACTGAAGCCCGTTAATATTCGAAAGCTCTTGCGCCTAGACATTCACGGCGGACAGGTCCATGCGAGTAGATGCGCATATGGGGAGCTCCACGCAGTGAATAATTGTTTTTTGTCAGGGATGGTGGGGGGCGGGTGGGCATGGTGTCGGCATGGTGCCTGGTTAGCTGCCGGTCGCCTGGGGGAGGGGGTGTATATTAATAAGGAACAGTGATCAAGACACCCCCTAGATAGCAAGCTGTCTAGCTCACTCTCACCCGCCCTTCCAACACATGAGTAACAATCGAGCCTGAGCATGTTCCGCGGTCGTCTTTGGATGGGCAGCTACTGAGAACCAACACCGACCCCATGTGCGCGACGATGGGGCGAGGTGCGCCACGCGTGCCAGGGGCGCCACGCGCGCCAGGCACCCCTGGGGCCTGAGCGTGCCAGGCACTCCTGGTGCGCCAGATGCGCCACGTGCTCCGCGTGCGCCAGGTGTGCCGCATACTCCAGCCGCGCCACGTTCGGGGCAAGTGCAGAATGTGGCAGGTGCGCCTGCGCACGTGACAGCACACATCGGGAAACATGTCGGCCCCCGCCATCCTTGTCGAAAACCGATGCCCATCATTGTGTCTGATGGGCCTTCGCACAGCAGGCCATACGCCACCACCCCCGCCGTCCCTGCCAAAAACCACTTGACAGTGATTGCGGTGTGGCCGCGCATGATCCAGATTTAGCCGCGAGGTGCATTTTGTATTGTTTTGTGTTAGGGATGGTAGCTCTGCGCACAGCAGACAATATGCTGATCCTGCCGCCGTCCCTGTCAAAAAAAATACAACTGCTCGCGGGTCTCAAGAACATGACTCAAGACTTTGCCCCAAAGTGCACTCTGTATTGTTTTTTGACTAGAATGGTGGGTGCCGCATCGGGTTGGCCGCGAATGCTCCAAAATGTGGAGGCAGAGTGCGTTTTGTATGGTTTTTTTGACAGGCGCGGTGGGGGGGGAGCATGGGATCCTCGTAGTTCCTGGTTGGCTGCCGGTCGCCTGGGGGAGGGGGTGTATTTTCGTAGGGAACAGTGATGAACCCCTCCCCCGAGCAGGGAAAGGAGGGGGTGTGGAGAGAGAGAGAAGTCACAACTCGTTAAACCACCTACGCCCAGAGGGCTGGTGGGATTTTTTGCTGGTCCGCGGGGATCTCTTGGATCTGCGCTGGACCCCTCCTCCCTGGCGCGCGGAGCGCGCCAGGTGTGGCGCCCGAGGCGCCTCCAGGCAGGCTCAGCGCAGCTCCAAGAGATCCGCGCCGACCGTCAGACATTTACGTTCATGAAGGTTTCCCTCCCTCCGTGGTCATCGGTCTCTTTCCCTCCATTTTGACCCCCTCCCCAGCTCCTGCCCAGGCCGACAGGCGAGCGGAACTCCGCATCGTCGGACCTAATTGTCCCCACGCCCTGCGGCCCAATGCTTCCTTGGCGTCACCGGCCCGCCCGCCTCTTGACGTGAGGGCGGAGGCCGCGACACCCGACGGAGAGGGCATCTCCACCCTCACGCATGCCGTCGGGATCTCTGGACAGCGTGTCGCTCCGCCGATTCTGGCCCGCCACGCTTTGGAGCGACGCGCTGTCCACGTCGCGGTCCCCGCTTGGCATCGCTCGGGCGTGTGCATTTTTTTCTCGGCGAGAACCATCGAGGACCATCCTGGACCATCGAGCAAAAATCAGGAGGAACAAAAAAACACACAGACACAATGAATCGTCGATTCCAAGGAAATATGGGGAAATATGGCAAGTGGGGGGAAGACAACACCCAGAAACTATGCGAAAATATGGGGAATCCTTTTATTTGTATGTATTTATTTTTGTGTCCCAGGGCCCCTTCAAAAAAACACACGCACGAAACCGAAAAGTGCACGGGAAGTGGACGTCCGAGCGGCGGCAAGCCCAGGCGTCCATGCCCCCGAGCTTCTCCGAGCCTCTCCCGCCACGCGGAGCGGAGCGACGCGCTGCTCGCCTGCGGGGGGACACGGCGTGCCGCCGGGGGGGCGCTGCCGCGCCGCGCGGAGCAAGAGTCTCCGACCGTAGGCTTCAGTCGGGCATGTCCTTCTGCAGGAGGAATACTCAAGACTAGTAATATATCAGTCAGGGGGCGATTTTTCGATTATTTTAAGACCATTTTTGAATCTTTTGGCTACTTTTTATTTCCCTCCCAAATCCGCCTGTGGGAGGACATGCCCGACCTAACCGTATGGGGTGGTGGTGGTGGGTCAACGGGGCCGAGGTCTGCCCCGCGGGGATGGGGACAGGGCCCTCCTCGCTCTGCGCCCCACCCTGGGCCCGGCTCGCTTCGATTCCTCCGATTCGACACTCGACGCGACTTCGATGGCTTCCGATTCCGATCTGGTTCGATCTGGGATTTCGATCTGGGCTCCGTTCTCCCACCGGGGTCAAACTACAGTGGAGGCCCACGCCAAGAAACGCCCTGCTCGCCTCCAGGGTGCCCTGGGTTTCTTGGGTTTCTATTTTTTTGTTGCGATGGAAAGCGTGACGTCCCCACACCAAAAGTCAGTGGACGTCCTGGGGTCTCGGGGTTGGGTTTCTTGTGGAAGGTTTCTTGTGGTCGGGCCCCTACTGTAAGTCGGGCCTGTCCCTGTACAGGAGGAATATTCAAGAATTGTAGAAACATAGTCTGGGACGAATTTTCGACTATTTTGTAGTATTTTTGAATGTTTGTTGACAATTTTTTCGTTTTCCTCCAAAATCCGCCTGCCCGACCTAAGCTTTAGCCTCCCGATGTCCGCCAACGCGACTGCTGCCCACTCTGCTGCCGATCTCCGCCGCTCCGACTCATCGATTCGCTCCTGGGCTAGATCGTGCCTTGTTGGCCCGGCGGGCCGGCGGTGCCCCAACCCTCCCGCTTCTCTCTCCTCCGCCTGAAGTCGGGCATGTCCGTCTACAGGAGGAATATCAACAAAAATAGGCAAAAAATAGTCAGGGGACGACTTTTCGATCATCTTTTAGGTTTGGATCATTGCTTGAAGATTCTTCAGCTTCCTGCCAAAATCCGCCTGTAGGAGGACATGCCCGACCTAACTCTTGTCTCGGGGGAGGGCTGCTGCCGCCGCGGGTCTTGGCCGGCGTCGAGGTATCCCGGCCTGGCGCGGCGGCAGAAGGGAGGAGCCGCTTCCCGATTCGTCTATACGCAGGAGTGGCCCCAAGCCAGAGTGACCTTTTGGTGCGGGTCCCTCGATCGCTGAGTGCGATTGCGATGCTCTAGGCTTCCTAGATGGGGTCCGAGTAGATGGGGTCCGAGTAGATGATCGCGCCGCATCGTCGATGCATCGGCGATGCGGCTCGATGTGGAGCCTGATTTTCTCCACCGTGGCGTCGCCGATGCATCGCCGATGCATCGGCGACGCATCGCCGATGTATATCGGCGATGCGGTGCGATCCTCCGACCCCGTCTACTATCTACTCCGATCCCATCTAGGAGGCCTCTCGGTGCGATGCAGTCAGCGCGCCTAGTAGGGATGCGCGCCTTCGTCCAGGCTGTGCCCCTGCGTCAGTGCCTCTGCGGCCCGTCCTCTGCCGTCTTCACGGGTCGCCCGTCGCCCCAGACGGTCCCACGTTCGGCCTCCAAGGGTCCTGCGGCCTCACAGTGGAGGCCCATGCCAAGAAACACCCTGCTCGCCTGCAGGGTGCCCTGGGCTTCTTGGGTTGCGGCTGTTTTGCGATGGAGAGCGTGACGTTCCCACACCAAAAATCAATGGACGTCCTGGGTTCGCAGGGTCGGGGTTCTCGTGGAAGGTCTCTTGTGGACTGGCCTCCACTGTACCACCCGTTCAGAATACGCATTTCGGCTG